TTTTCTAAAATCAATCCAATCTACCCGTATGGATAATTCAAAAATGTCCCAAGTATAATCATATGAGACACACATAAATACCTCCGTTAATCAACTCAAACAGTAAGTTTTGATTGGGATCAAGCGAAACAAATTGAAAACATGAGAGATTAAAATGAGCATGCTTGGAGGGGAATTACTCAGAAATCTACTTTGTCGGTGCGGGCGGTGATTATTCCTAAAGTCGACCGCACGCCACCGTCCCTCTTCCCATATGCCCTTTTTTTTTTTTTTTTTTTGAAAATGGGTGGGGGCAAGGAAAGCGATCATTTTGGTAGGTCTTCATTGGTACCATCATAATATTTTTAACTACATCCCTTACTCTAATAAAAAATAAACTAAATTAGACTAATGCTTTATTTTGTATGATAAAAAAATAAAATGATGAAAAGTTAAAAAGATAAAAAGTTAAAGCGATAAATAAAATATCATGTTTGGATAGAAAAGAAAATAAAAATGATGAAAAAGTAAATGAATTAACTTTCCTTCCAACTTACCAAAATTAATCTTTCTAAAATCGGAAGAAAAGTGGATGAAAAATAAATTATTTGTATTGAGATGTATCTTATTTGTTTATATATCTTTTTTATATATACATATATTATGTATATATTAATTTCATATAAAAATACAATGATAAAATATATATATATATATATATATATATATATATATTAAATAATTTTAAATAAAAAAATAAAACTAAAAATTTTAAATTAAAAAAATATTTTTTCCATCTTAACTAGAGTTAAAAAATTTTGATTCAACACAATGACACAACTCGAACTTGACACGAACTTTATTAACTCGAACACGAACATGACACGAAAATAAACAGGTCAACTCGTAACTCGACACGACACAATTAATAAAATGAGTTGAGTCAAGTATGACTAATGTTCGACAGAAATCTGTAATGACTCAACACGAATATAATACAACACGACTCGATTGTCACCCCTAATTTTAGCAAGCACAAAAAAAAATAAAAAATCTAATCATTCTTATTGTCCATCCATTCAACCAAACACAAAAAAAAAAAAAAATATATTATTTATATTTTTCTTCCTTAAAAGATAGAAAATGTATTCCTTCTATTTTCTATCCCATTCTATTTTTTATCTTTTCTTCCAAACAGAACATAACATAACAATCGATAACCAAACCTTAATATAAATTCCTCATACTTTATTTACTTGTAGTTGGCAGAGGAACACAAAACGGAGGTCAATGTTTGAGCCGTTAACAGTTTTTTAGCCCCTTGGTTCCTGTACCTGTGGGTCTGTCGGGCCTTCGAATATCTTCTGCAGTTTCAATACAAGTGTCTAGGGTCGGTGGTATTACCACAAAAAATATTATTTTAATATTATAACTCCCCTATTTTATTCAAAAAATTATAAGAAATATAAAATTTTGTTATTTTATCGATTTTACAATCGATAGCTACAAATCAATTAAACTAAAATTTACATCTCCAGATCAATTTTAAAATTCTTAAATCCTCCCCAAGGTTTCAAAAAATTCTACATTTCTCCTCTTATGTTTTCTAAAAAGTCGTCGGCATATTGTATTTCACTTATGGTCCGTTTGATGCGATGGATGAAAAAATAGAATGATAAAAAGTATGAGTAATAAGACGGAGGAATCTTTTATTCCCTCTTTTGTACTTGGTAAAAGGGTTGGTAAAAGGGATGGAAAGTAAAAAAAAAAAAATTGTATTGATAAGATGAAAAAAGTATTTTTTAAATTTTAATTTTAATTTTTAAAATTCTAAGTGTTTTTATTTTTTAAAATCATAATTGTTTTTATTTTTTAAAATTCTACTTGTTTTTATTTTTTAAAATTTGTATTAAAAAAATAAAAATACATATTTTAGCATTTATATCTATATATGAAATTAATATATATATAATATGTAATTGATAAATATGATATATGTATATACCAAAAGATATATAAATAAATAACATACATTTCAACACAGGTAATTAAGTTTCATCCATTTGTTCTCTCAATATTGGAGGGATTGATTTTGATAAGTTGAGAAGAAAGTTAATCTATCCACTTTTACTATTTTCCTTTTATCTATTCCTCTAATTTTTTATCCTTTCATTTTTCTATTATACCAAATGAAACATTAGTATATCCAAAAAGAACAATGACTTAATAATTAATAACCAATAGTTGATGTAACCATATGAATGAATTTTAGTTTTACAAACGAATTTGTTAAAAAAGAAAAAAAAATGAAATTTTGTAAAATTGGGTTATAAATGTGACGTATATAAAAAATAATGCAATGGTTCAACTCGATTTTGTTATGCATGGGAAATTATTATTTGTGATGACAATATATTTTTAACCATCACATCATATCGAAAATAAGAGAGTAAGAGCGCGGCCATATTTTTAATATAAAATTTTGATTTTGTCCCTGATTATTAGTGTATATCCTACAAGGTTATTTTTTTATTTATCCTATAAGCAGCCCATATGCCTCGGTTTCGTGGCATGACCTTGTAATACATACGTTTTTTGAGCAGCACAACAGCCATTGACCTCTGCAGGTAAGGTATCTTACTAAAAGAAAAAAAAAAAAAAAAAAGGGGGGGAGAGAACCAAAATAATATAGATCACATAGAATGGGAAGGCCAGGGACGGCTTAAGCCAATTTAAAGTGAAAATTAAATAGAAATCTTTTTATTTTTAGTATTATTTTTAAAAAAAATAATTTATTTTTAATTTTTTATGTGAGAGTGAGACAAAAGAAAAATGTGTTAATATTATCTATTTTTAACTTTTATTTTTGTTTTTTTACCACAGAAAGAGAGAGAAAGTGTTTAATTTTAACTTTTGTTTTTTATTTATTTTTTTTACCGGAGAGAGAGAGAGAGGGTGAGAGTAAATATGAGTTGACTTATAAGTATTTTTTTTTTTAATTTCTAAGTTTTTAATGTTATGAATTGGATTATAGGGCCAAATTATTGTAATAAAAATTTTGATTGAATTTAATTTTTTAAGACTTTTTTGTAGGGCTTAAAATTTAATGGAATTAATTTTTTTTTGTGGACTAGTGATGTACCTAAAATTATAAGAACTTATAAAAATTTGGGATCTAAAGTTTAATATTGAAAACAAAGACAAGAGCGAGAAGAAAAGTGAGTGCAAAAGCATCAGCATTTAAAAAAATTGAGAGCGGAAGTGCTTTAAGAGCGTCATATTATATACATACAGACACAAGTTCACCTATAAAAAAATTTAATATAAATAATTAAAATTTCATACACAATTATGAGACAAATTATTTAATTCATGGAGCGCATCCATAAATAGCGCAAGAGCATTAGAAATTTAGAAAGATTATATAACTAAATATTTGCCACATAAGTTATTGCCATCTAGAATGAATAATCTTCAACGAAACGTTACAAATTTCTATAGTCAAGATTGTAATGTCTTAAAATCAACAATTGAGAGAATAAAATAACATTAAGGCCATTGTTTAAGGGAACAATGTATTATTATTTACTTTTTTTTTGGGGGGGGGGGGAGCAATGTGTAATTTACCTTTTTTGTTTATTCATTAGTTTGGAATTTTGTATTTTCGAATAAGGAAAGCAAAGAATAATGTGGTAATGGTAAATGGTCTATATTGATAATTTGTTCAGAGAGTTTGAATGGGACTTTGAAAATGTATATTCAACAGGTAGAAAATGGTCACAGTAAAGTTTCCAAATGTTTGAAACTACCAAATCTTATATGCCAACTGATTGGGAAGCCTACCAAAGCTTATGCCAACTGATTGGGAAGCCACTGGTTTTTAGTCTACCAGATTTTAGTATGACTTTTTTTTGAATTTATTCTCGTTAGATTGGATTAAGAGCTGGTCAAATTACTATTTGGTGGTAAAGTGAAATTAAAGAATGTTACTGACTAATTTAATTACGATTTCAATAATTTAATTATAATGACTGTGATAATAAAAAATATCACATCTACACCATTAACGAGAACGGGTTTACCCAACAAAGATAAGAGAGAGATTCGAATATTATAGAGGTGAAACAAGCCAGAAAATGCATTCTAGTTAAAACTACAAGTTGTTTTTTACCCATGAATTTTCCTAACAAACTTACAAAAACAGGAAAAAGTCAAGCAGCGTAGGATTAGGTTCGGGTGGTCGGGTCAACCCCTCATCTTTCATCCCGCCCCGGGTGGGAGGGGGCTAGGGATTCAAGTCTTGTAACTTGTAGACGCCAATTCTTTACGCATTTAAGACTTTAATTCCATTCTCTAAACCGTTTAACACTTCTTTCTTTTACTTTTCCAAACAACATAGGATGTCCCAATCAGTTTATGCACATATTGATTAATTCATTTTTCGGTCAAAAAAAAATTATTCACATCGGAGTTAAGATATTTATGAATGTTTGTCCCTAAGAAATTGTTAATATTTAAAATTAAAACGTCTAAATTTACAAAAAATAACTAGAATATAGTTTCGGCCAATTCAAATCCAATTTGAATAATACACTCTACATTCAAATTTATTAAAATTTAAAATTTTTTAAATTCGATTTGATGAAATAATTTAAAATTTGAAGAAAAATATGATTTAGTACAAACTTATTCCTGAATGGTGTAAATAAAATAAATTCAAGTCGGACATCCTATTATTATTGAAGTACTCACTCAAACACAAGGGGTAGATCTGTAATTAAGTAAAAGTAAATTGGTAAATTGTAATGGGAGGAATCTGGATCGGAAATGAAAGGACAAAAAACAAAAGGAAAAGTAGAAAGAAAAAACAAAAACAAAAAAATGGAGTCACACGGACGTCGCGCAACAGCTACCGTGTGAGCGCCACGTCAGAGGAGAGAGAGTATCGGCGCAGTGTAGGACAGTGTTTATCCAGAAGAGTATAGATATGCGTATACCAGTCGTTACATACGCGCGTCATTGTGTCTATATAACGGAGTCGCCAATGCCCCTGTTCTTCCTCCGGCATTCTCATTCTGTTCCCTTCCCTGCTCTTGCTCTCTCCCTCTGCATACACACCTCTTTTCTCTCTCTGAAATCTCTTCTCTCGCTTGTCTCTCTCTCTCTCTCTATTCATCCACCTCTCTATTGCATAAAGCATTCCCTCTATAAGAAGCCATTGGATTCTCTCTGCTACTGCCTCTGAAATTAGCAGCCAGTCCTCAAATTTCGGTATGTACTCTCTCTCTCTCTCTCTCTCTCTCTCTCTCTCTCTCTCTCTCTCTCTCTCTCCATAAATACATTTTTGTGTTGTGACCTCTGTTATATCTCTTTTTGATTCAAAGAGACCACAGTTTTGGTTTGAATTTGTTCATCAAGCTTATATGGAACTGGTTTTCTACCTTATGTTTCTTGATCTTTTTTTTTTCTTATGGGTTAGTATATCTCTCTCAGTTTTGAAGGGTTCTAATCTATATTTTCGTTTAGCTAGTTTTTTTTTTTGGGCTGTTGATGTGTAATAGTTGTCTGATGCTCAGATTTTACTGTTTTGGGCATTATTGTTTTGATATGAAGCTTGATCTTTGACGAATTGTTCAGAGATTTTGTCCCTTGTCTCTAGACTATGGCTATGGGTACGGCTACCTTGTTTTCCTTCCAAATCGTAATTTCCGTCCAATTCTCACTTTTTGAATTGGTTGTCGAATCACTTGACGACGGCTAAAATCGGTTCATACTACCGAGAAAATACACTGATTTTTCCCAAAAGGCATATTTACCGATGGTGTTAACTCACTTCCAAGATGTTGCTTCTATAGCCTTTGTGATGGTCCTCTAGAAACTTTGTTAATGGCTTAGATGCCAAAAAAAGTATCCTGAATTAAGTTTCTTTGAATTCAGAAGCTTTCTTGTTGCTTTTTTGTTGTTTTCAATCCATAATTTATTCTTAATTTTTTTTCTCACTTTTTGTTTTGGTGGTGTTTGATGGTTTTTTCTTAGCATTATTTATTTATTTTATTTTTTTGGGGAGGGGAGGGGAGTTTCTTTGTATCAGTATTATCTATCAAAGGTTCAAGCTGTGTTCTTTTGGAATTTGGATAGGGCAGCAGAATATCAGATCATACTTTTTAGCTCATTGATTAACTTAAAATTTGAATAGTTTTGTTAGTAAGAGGTTAACCATTCAAGTATTAATTCGGATTTTGAATCCAACTGTTTGAAGAGGTGTTCCCTGAAAGTACTTGAGGCCTATGAAACCAAACCCCCACCCTTCCCCCCAAAAAAAAGAAAAAAAAAAAAACATATATATATATATATATATATGCGGTGTTATTTATTTATTTTCCCCAAACAAAAAAAAATATATGTTGTTATTTATTTATATTTTGTGTCCTTTACCGGGTTGCAAAATCACTGTTTTGAGTCTGGTTAAGAACTATGGATGCCAACCAGATGTTACCCTTCGAGTTGGGATGTTCATGCAGTGGTGGCCTCCCCACCCCCACCAAACCAAAATTCGTGCTCCTGAAGTATGGACATTTTTATTGTGCTTCTGCCAAACAAAAATAGAAAAATCTTAGCTTTGCCCCTCGATACCTGGCCATCTAATATAGTATGTGTTCTAGAAGATCTTGGTGGTTTTGCTTGATTAATGCATACGACTTGGATGTCTACAGGTGGGGTATCTGGTTAGCATTCTCAAAGACCTAGTTAGATACAATTCTCTTTCCATTAGGTGACCCACCTATTGATATTAGAATTTTAGGTAGGTAAAGAGGGGAGTTGAACAAATAAGGCTTATGGTGAAAGTCTAGCTAAGATTAATTAGATGCTTTTGTTGTTGAATTTATGTTTAACCTACTTTTCAGCCACCAAAACTGCAATGGTTTCTTGCTTCTTCACAAATAATCAATTTTAGAGAACTGATTGATCTATACAATACGATTTCCAGCCTGGGAAAGTTTTGAATCTAAATCAAATGATATTTTCTTAATTAATTTTTCTTCTGAGCGGTGTAGAAAAAATTTTAGATCCTAACCGGTTTTTTTCTTTTCTGTGTACTTCAGGCATTGGCAACCTAGATAAACATACTGTGAAGCAGATCAAATGGCCATGCAGCAGTACAATCCAGAGCTGGAACATATTCATTTTAGTAGAGAAGATAACAATTCCCTAGAGAAGCATAAATCCGTCTCGGCCAGGGTTGATGGGTGTGAAAATACTCCATCAGGAGGTGGTTTTGACTGCAACATCTGCCTAGACTCTGTGCAGGACCCAGTGGTGACACTCTGCGGTCACCTCTACTGCTGGCCCTGCATTTACAAATGGATTCATTACCAGAGTGTCTCTGCAGAAAACCTTGGTGAGCAACAGCCACAGTGCCCTGTATGCAAGGCTGAAATTTCCGAAAAAAGCTTAGTCCCACTCTATGGCCGTGGCCTAACTACAAATCCCTCTGACTGTAAGCCTCCACATCTTGGTATAGTCATACCAAGGAGGCCACCCAGTCCGAGATGTGGATCCCACACATTGTTAACCACTCCAACCAACTCTAGCCCACGCCGTGCTAACCAAATTCATCATCAAAGCTATCCACAACAGCCACAAGGGTACCACCATAACGTTGGCAACTATGCCGGGGCTACACCCATTCTTGGTCTTGATGGCACGACAACGGCAAATGCGTTACATCCTGTGGTTGGGATGTTTGGGGAAATGGTTTATGCAAGGATTTTTGGGAACTCCGAAACTTTGTATAGCTATCCAGATACTTATAATCTAGCTGGTAGCGGTAATCCAAGAGTGAGAAGGCATGTAATGCAGGCTGATAAGTCACTTAGCAGAGTGTGTTTTTTCCTCTGCTGTTGTGTAGTTTCATGTCTTGTCTTGTTCTAGTGACTATTTTCTTATTTCTTCCTCCCCTTGGTGCACCCGGTAAAATGAACAACACAATACACACAACTCGCCCCGATGTAATAGATGATTGAGGTTTTGCGTCTTTTGTTCTGATGTGTAGAATTATGAGTCTTGTTTTGAGCTTCCAGAAGAGCTTATGCTAAGAATTTGTCTCAAAAGTGTTTGACTGGGGATGTTTATATCTCTGAGTTTACTTTAAAGTTTGGAATGCAAAATGGGGATTCATGTACATGTATCTATCTTGTAAACAGATATACACCGACGCATGTGCTATAAAAATTGGAGCGAGCCTGAGGAGACAACGTAGTACTTTGAGATAGGTATCTACAATGTTGTCCACGAGTTTCACGGATAGTGGTGATCATGATTGGATAGGCCACGTACCTGGCCAACTCATATTGGACATGGTCCTTATCCTCTTCCTTATCCAACCGCCTGTATGTGTATACTTTAACTTTAATTTAAGAATAAGAGTGTGGGGTTACCCATGACGAGTATGGTCTTATTATAATATCGAAAGATGTACTCTACCGAAATATAAAAAAAAGAATTGGATTAAGTTTCGATTTTTAAGGAGAATAATTTATAAGCTTTTTAGATGAACTACAACTAAATAGAGATAAATTATAACTAAAAAAATTTAAGAAACCCGATTTTAAATGTTGGTATCAATTTTAAAAATCTCACGTTTATTTTAAAATAATTTTTGTGTGGTACTAAATAAAATAATTTTTCGATAGTGTGGGGTTGTCCTAATGTGCTATGAGGTCCATGCGAAAGCAAAAGTGCTTTGTTTTGTTTCTAGAAGGGCTAAAATTTCAAACTTGTGAGTCCGAGGGTTGAACGAGGTGGGGGATATTATCGGGGGCGGATTCACAGCGGGCCAGCTGCCCCCGCTCGAATTTTAAAATTTTTTGAGGATTAAGTATAATTTCAAAAAATTTAAATTTATTAGATATTTGCCCCGCTAATTTTTTTTTTTAAAGATTTAAAGATAGTTATATGAGTCTCACTTGTAAATATCAATGGAAGATGATATCAAAAATTTGGACAATTAAAGATTAACTAATATGTTACGAAATAGGTTAATCTTCTCATTTGTTTTATGTTTATACATCGAACTAAATTTATGGCTTATAATCATCTTCTTTGTTTTGTGTTTATATGTTAGAATTGAAAATTAGAGTTTGTAGCCCTCTTTTGTGGTTTATTTTTTATATGTTGAATTGAAATTAGCGCTTATAGCTCTCTGTTGTATTTTATTTGTTACATGTTGAATTGAAAATATAAAATTGGAGTTTGTAATCATCTCTTAATGTTTTATTTTTGTATGTATTAAATTGAAACTAGAATTTGTAGTCTCGTATTTATTTTTCTATGTTGAAATAAAATTGAGGCTTTTAATCCTCTTCTATGATTTATTTTTTTATATATTTAATTGATATTTGGGTTTATAGTTATCTCTAGTATTTTATTTTTATATGTTGAATTGGAATTAGGACTTGTAGTCATCTCATTTGTTTATTTTTATTTGTAGAATTAGAATTAGAATTTGTAGTCCTCCATTATAATTAGACTAAATTATTTTAATTTGGTAGTTTGAACAGTTTTATAGTGATAAGTTATGTACTTCATATACCTAGATTTAGTTTACTAGAATAATTATACTTTAAGCTAGTTTCGATTGTTTGTTAAAATTTAATGATGAATATTAAGTTTGTGATTGAACAAATTAGTTTTTGAATTAGTTATGAAAATTTTTCTTAAAATTGAATGTATGATTGAGCCCAATTTTGTGGTTCAAAATTTTTTTGTTAGATCTTATAGATAAATTTATAATAATTTTTTTTGTTAGCTCATTTTGTATATCGCTCGTGTATATAAATTGCGTCTTTAATTGGTGTTCTATTAATAAAATTATAATTTTTTAAATATTTTAAATTTTAATATTAATATAGTTTAAATTACCTCCGCCATAGAATATGTCTGGCTCCGCCCAGGATATTATAGGCCCGGTCAAAATCAAGCTATTTAATGTTAATAGTGATAAGAGCAATCCTTATCACGTGGTTGTCTTTTTGATATGTTTGAGGTGCTAAATAATGTTGATGGTCCTGTTCACAGAGATAGAGGACAAAATGGTTGCTACTAAGGAAGGTGGCGGAGGAGAATCTTCCAAGGAGAGAAGAGTCGTCCACTTTGGCTTTATTCATTTGCCTTTTTTTTTTCCGACTTTTGACGACTCCACCTAAGGCTTGGGAATAGGCCAAAAGGGGTCACTTCTTAGTTCTTTCTTTCTTCCCACTATAGTTCTCTCTCTCTCTCTCTCTCTCTCTCTCTCTCTCTCTCTCTCTCTCTGGATTAGACTCGGACCTTTAATGTATTGTTTAACATTCAAGATCGATGTTAAAAAATAAGAAAAATTATACTCAGACTTCCTTAAATTTGTCACTTAATTATTTAATTTTTTTGATATTTAAAATATTACACAGACCACTTCCATCCATTAGTGTTTGTTAGTATATTAGTAAATTACATCTAAATCCCATAAATTTAAAGCTTGTAATACTTAGACCCCTTAAATTTAAAATATTACACTTAGACAAAAAATACTCAAATTAAAGATAAAATATCAAATATTTTAAATTTTACAATGTTCTATTATGTCATTTATTGAAAAAAATTAAAAATAAAAATCCATTTTTTTTAGAATCTTATTCAAATTAGAACTCTTGATAGGATGAGTTGGACTTAGACTAAATGGACTTTTCACCTTGGGTCAATTTTTTTATCATCAATTACCAACATATGAAATAAGTCTAATTTATGCATTTGTATGTTCCATTATATCATCCACTGACATAAAAATCAAACAAAATCTTAATTTTTTACGGAAAAAATAGTAACTAGTATAAATATATAAAAGAACTCATGAATTCAACACTTATTTGCATACAATTATACTATCTATTAGAATAAAAATTAAAAAACTACATAAGGGATCAAACTATAGTGGACATAATATCTTTTATCTTTAATTGAAGTAATTTGAACGTTTAATATATTCCGTTAATTTCGTAACTAATAAGAGTCTAAATATAATATTTTAAATTTGAAAAATCTAAGTGTTAAACACTACAAATTTTAAGGGATGTAAATGTAATTTACTAATAGATACACTAACAAATGTTAATGACAAATATCTAAATGTTACACATATACAAACTTTAAGAGTTTATGTGTAATATTTTAAATATCAATGAGTTTAAATGATTAAATAACAAACCTCACGAAGTTTAGGTATAATGTTTCCTAAAAAATATGGGTCAATCTTCAAATTTTTGTTGTTATTTGATTATGAGAAATTGTATATTGAACAAAAAAAAAAAAAATCGCTATCATGCCTTAGTCGAAATCAAACCCTAAAGTAATTTTTTTGGACTTTTTAACAATATGTGGTTGATATATTGTAGGGTCCCATTCGTGGGGTCGTTAGAGTCCATAAAACTTAAGATAGCTTGGGCTTCTCTTCTTCGGCTTCTCATCTTCTTGATGATTAGATAGCTTGGGCTTCTCTTCTTCGGCTTCTCATCTTCTTGATGATTAGAATTCTAAACCTCTATTATAACTTAGTTAATTAAGTATTAGTGACCAAAAAATCTCTTTTTCTTTTTCTTTTTTAATGGGTGTCGGCAGGCATGTTGCTATGTGAAATGTGTTGGGAAGTAATAGGTACTTAGGCGACCATTTAATATTACATGAATCTTGATTCAAGAATTTTTCTTATTCTTCAAATTTTTTGAATGTGATTAGCCTACGTTGAACGGAAGCAATTCCACCAGAAGGTTGTGGTAGTGATGCAAGTGATATAAAAATGGAGTGACCCTACAAGACATGGCATAATTAATTGAAATGGATAACTAAAATATGATTGAGAGCTTCAAGATATGCCATAATTAACTGAATAGGCTATGTGTCTCTAATCTCTCCAACTCATTATTGCCATGGTCCTTGCCCTCTTCCCTATCCAACCACAATGTGTACACTTTAATAACCTCGAATGGCTTCCTCGAAGTAGAGCATAGGAGTGTGGGGCTACCCTACTCAATAGACCAAGTAACAACTAAATAGAATCAAGTTACATAAAAAAAAGTCACGTTAAGTAACCTCTAAGTTTCTTTATGGTAACTTCGGTATGGGGAAAAAAAGTAACTTGTAATACAAAGGTTGAATGAGATGGAATGCAACAGGCCGTCGGCTAAATCAAAGCTATCAAAGTTGCTGGACAAGCGTACTTCGATTCGCCCGGCCAGCAGGCGGGCGGCGTGCTTGTCTTCATCATTGTTTGAGCTGCAGAGTAGCGTAGGTCGTGTTCACAGAGGTAGAGGACAATATAGCCGCACTATGGAATGGTGGTGGAGTCGTCTCTTCCAAGAAGAGTAGAGTCATCTACTTTGCCTTTCTCATCTGTCTTTCTCTCAACTTTTTGACTCCTCCAGCCAAGCCTTGGGAAGTGGTCAAAAGGGGTCACTAGCTCTCTCTCTCTCTCACTCACACACACACACCGTCTCTCAGCAGCCTTTTTGTATGGACATGTATTTGTTCTTTGGAAGTATCTTTCTCCAATATCCTCCCACTTGCATTAATAGATATGTAGGAGTTGGATGGGTTACACTATTTTAGACAAGTTGGGCTTGCAGATTTTTGTTCCATTGAGAAGTACTACTTGCACAGTATTTTGAGTTTATTCCTATTTTCCTCTAAGATTGAAACAGAAATTTAGTTACCTACTGAAAAAAAAAAAGGAAAAAAAGAATTTAGACATGATGCAACAAACCAGGTTTCCGAACAGAGAAAATAAATTTTAATTCTTCCAAAATTTTTATGATCTACATGACATTGGAACAATTAGCTTCTCCTCAGTGATTGAACGACATTTGCTAGCAAACTTCAACTCAATAAATGCTACCTTGGAGGATATATAGGCGCATTCATATCCAATAGTCCCCCCAACTACTATCATAAAATGGGGTGAATGCTTTCGCTCTCTTATCATTTCCTACCCTATAGATATATAATAAGAAGCTCGTTATTGGATTAATAATGAGTTCTATTTTTAGTTGAAACTTATTATCAATTCAATGACTATGATACATTAGATCAAAAAATTCAATCTAAATAATATTTCTCCTCATATAATATGATCACCCGTTAGGCATGGAAGATGATGACTAGCTAATGAGGCAATAAAAATTCTAGCACCTCGTCTAGTGCTATATCGGTTGTCGGGACTACTTCTAAGTAGGCATAATTACTTGTTCATTCTGCTTAGATGGACCACTGCAAAAAAATTAGGCAGCAAAACTGTTTAGGGAAGAGACATTAACCCCGGCACTGGTTGTGCAGTTGCTAGGGGTGC